TACATTTTAAGGTTTAAGCACTTTTTAAGCACAACCTAAAAAAAGACCCCAAAAGTTAAAAGTATGACTTTTCCAGGATACCCAGTTAAGATCACTGGATCTGAATCACGTCATCAAACTACTCGAAGATTCAGACTCAGTAAGTAAGCCTGATACCTCGTTATTTCAGTTACATGGGTAGTAATGGGGCTTAGAAAAATGTTTTACCCAATTAATTTAGTACCCGCCTTAACTAAGGCAGATGGTGCTGGTGGCTGGGGCTACAGAGCACAGAGCTGAAGTATTTGTTCTGGTATTTGAACGCTTCTTCTAAAGATGGTCATTGTAATAAAGAATGGTATCAATGATGTTTTATATTTAAAAAAAAAATGTATATATATAGCCCAGTACATCCTCACACAGGCACTTTTCAAAAAAAAAAAAAAAAAAGACAAAAGCGTGTGCATTTAAAAACTAGATGTGGAAAATTTCTAGCATATCTGGGGGTTTTTGAGTACTGAAACCTACAGCTGAGAAACAGAAATACATACAGCTCCTGAAAATATGTCAGGAATTTATGTAATTGCCCAAGTTAACTGCTAACATTTCTCCAGGGATGTGATTTTAAAGGAAGGAGAAGTACACAAAGTTGAGTGTTGAGGAACAAATATAACTACCTAGGCACACAGGAGAGCGTAATCACATGGACTTCCACAGGCTGGTTTTGGTCTCCACAAGAAGATTTGGCGGACCAAATTCACTAAGCCATCAGTTATTTTTCAGCTCAAAACCTAATAACTTATATTCTTAAAACAAGAACTGGATTAAACATACCACATTTTAAGTTAATGCCCCACAGAGAAGTAGTTCATGTCCCTTTTTTTCCCCCTTTTGCTGCAGAGCTGATAGAATAAACTTACTGACTGAAGAAAAATGTGCTGGATGATATTGTTTACTGCTTCTCTAGAGAATATAAGATATATAACGGTTGGACTTCATGATCTTAAAGGTCTTTTCCAACCTAAACGATTCTATGATTCTATATGATAAAAATGCCCTTAAGATTCTGGGCTTGTAGATTCCTGAAACAACTTTGTGGCCTCCCTCAAGCTGCAGTGCTCTTGCCCAGCATGGAGGTGCTCAGAAGAGCTGGAATGAATGCTGCATGTCACTGACATAGCCTCACTTCAGTTGTTTTCAACTTCAAATTTGCAGACTGTTTCTTAGGGGTGGCAGAGCTCTACTCTAAGCCACTTAGATCTACATTTTTATATATTTATGTCGTGTGTGACATAGGTTTAGTTTTCTTAGTTGTCTTTCACAGAATCCCAAAGAATTTAAGAGAAAGAGCCCACACATTTGAACAAAAGAGTTTTAGAAAGCCTTTTCAGTTACAAGAGCGTAGACGCCATACTTAGAAATGAGGCTTGATGAAGGAGCTAATCCTGCTGCAAGGCACTCTCAGAATTTCATTGTGTCTTGTGATTTTTTAATCCGGTTCCCACTTTCATTTAAACCTAAAAGGGGATAAACATAATCATTTAATGTTCTAAGGCAAACTGCAATTAAAACCTGCTTTTCATTCTTTTACTTAAGAAAGACTTGGAAAAAGAGCAGCTGAAAACTCTCAAGAAGGTAGCCAAGCGTTTTGAAAACGGGCTTGTATCCTTTTTGCCACTGTACAATTCTGAAGTCATGGTGTTTTATGTATGATAATACTCTAACTTTTCAACAAAGTATTTTGTGACGTGCTGTACTTCCACATGGAGAGCAGTGATGGTCTACATACGTTCTCATCATTGGCCGACTTGTGCACACATAGCCAAGGTTGGTAGGTTAGCAAGATTCTTGGATGCTAGATTTATTTGCTACAAAATTCAGTAGAGGGGTCTCACCTGTACAGTGGTTCAAAACATAATTAGTGTGCTTTCAACTCAGAATAGACAAGCATAATAATTGTCACTACTTAAGAAACAGCAGATAAAAGAGCAATGACTTCCAGCGAGGAGACATTTTAAAGAAAAATAAAGTCAGACTAATCTGTCTGAAACTTTTTTCATATTTACAGTACGAATTGAAAGGCTTCCAATAATCAGAAATATGAGGGAGGATGTGGGCATATGGAAAAATGTGATTAATTTCATACAGTTTGGCTAATTGCCACAGTGATTTAAGCTATCACATTACTTCACAAATGAGTTATGGCTAAGTACTTACAGGCAGCTTCCATGAGTCAGTGGATTGGTAGTAACTTCTCAGTCTCAGTGATTTGTTCAGTTTTGATCTTGTGCCTCTACCCTAAATCAGATAATCTCAATATCTGTTTGGGTCCAGACTTTCAAACTTTAGTTAGTCACTTGGGACTAGAGTAGGAAAGAATTTCAATACCTCAAGGCTGTCTCAGAATTTAGATAGGTAAATCTGACACCATGATGTAAAAACTTTTCACCCTATATTTTTAGATATTCAGTGCTGAACTTCCAGTGAGTTCAGCTGGTAAGAATGCTAAATCATATTTGCAAGAGTTGTACTTCTGTAAAGGAAGGGCTGCTTCGGAAAGGGTAAGTATTGACTAATATGCTTCATTTTAGACATCTAACTTTGAAAGCATTGGCCTTGTTTTTTCTTGGTTATGTCTTTGAAGTATGATGAATACAGTTTTCAACTTTTTCTTCTGATTCATAGCAGTACAAACAATCTGATTTCCTTCACTTGAAATTAAAAGCCCCTTAAGGATTTAGCACAAGTAATTGAAATTCTTAACCTCTGTGCAGAAAAAATGAATGAACAAGAAGCTTTCACTGAGCCTTTATGTGAACTTATTAAATTATGTGGGTAAGTACTTCAGCCCTTCTTTTAGAGATTTAAACACTGCTTATTAACGTGTTCATACATTTTCTAAGACAACTGACATATCTGTACAGCATCTATCTACAAGACATCTATTATATCACTCTTCCTTTTGATGAACTATGTTTTCCTTGAGTCCAATTTCTGTTGGCATGAAGGAGGGACCCATTTTAGCAGTTCAGTATCTGTGGAGCTATGTATTACATCATTCAAAACTGTATTGTAATTGGCCTCAGCTTGCTTGGAAGCAAGATTCCCCAAGGTGTCTTACTGCCTACAGTAAGTTGTTCTGGGACTGCTGGCCTCAAAAGATTCAGCAACTAGGTCCTGCTGAGGTACATTTTACTGTTTCAAACAAGCTCTCTTAAGTGAGTTTAAAAACCTGAGGTGACACAATGACACTTTAATACCTGAAGGTAAGCTTTACAAAATGGCAAACGATACTGCAGAAGAACCACAACAATTGGAGGATTTGGGATTTATAATTAATTTAAAAACATATTGCATGAACATATTGGGCATCTTCATTGTCATACTGTACTTTAAATTATTTGTAGACTAGAATTTAGGTGTTATCCACACTTGTCAGTAGTTTTCTCCTCAATAATTTAATGAAGTTACTTATGGAATGCTTGTAACTACAGTTACTCCTGTATTTAATTGCAATTGGAGAGAATAAGGAAGAGAAAAATGATGGCAGACAGAAAATGAGTCACGTAGTAAACCAAATATTCAAATAGTTGAGAGGATGCTGTGTAAAAACCTGTTAGGTTTAATAGACGTAGAACTTCTAATCTGAATCTTTTAGTTCCCTGAGCACCATCAGTTGTACTGCTTTCCTTTGCTGCCACACAGTGGAGAATGAGAAAGTACATCACAAAGTTTCATTTTCTTCGGTGTTTGGCCAAAGCGTGACAAAACTGAGAATGAGTGTTATAAAGTCGATAAAATGTAGTTGTGAGTAAGACTTTTCGTCTCTCACAGCAGCTCAGCAATACTCGTGGTTTCTGCAATGAATATATTTTGGAAGATTGCACCCTTGGGTTTTACTTTCATTTCTGTACTATGGAAATTCCCCCACAATTCACTACTACTTCATATGACAAAGAGAAGCCTATAACTAGAGGGAGGGGCTGTTATTTAAAATTTCTTTTCAGATACTAGAACTCCTGTAGTAAAATTTTCCACTCTTTCATAACTGCTTCTGTTTACCTGTCTTCTTCCCACACTTCAGTGTCTATTTCAACTTCCCCCCCCCCTCCCCTTTTATTCCATTATTTACTGTCTCCTTCCTTTTTCTCTGGCTGTGTTTGCAGAGGTAAACCTACTGAAAAGCTGCTTCTATACTGTGAGCTGCAGAGACCTTAGCATAACATTGTAATGTTAACTGTTAGAGAATTTTTAGTACTTACACATTTATGTCATATCTGAGTATTTTTCAAATGCTATTGAATATTTCTTAATACCCCATTTTAAAAAATAAATCTGTCATTGGGCTATTTCAAGTCAATTTATTGGTTTTATTTTTATCTGTTTCAAGAGGTCTTGCCCAGGGATATGATCCTTTTTTTCCACCTCTGCATGTGTCTATGCATAGTCTAGCTCTGCAATAGCTTGATAGTGCCTAGGTTCCAGGATTGAATCTTCCACATTTAAATGACATTTTTTTATCCAGTATTTCTTATTGCATCAGATATGAATTATGAAAATATTATCTATGAACATGTACCACTAATTGCCAAAATGTAATTGCCAGATTACGGAACTGGAACGTTCAGTGTAGAATCAGCATTGCAAAGAATGTATTTGTCCTGGAAAAAGCATCCTTATTTGCAAAAAAATGTCAAGGAAGAAAAAGAAGCTATTGAGCTTTTCTGGTGACTTGATTAAAGTGTTCTTCTGCAGTGTTTTAAGCATAGTTGTAATATTTTTTAATTTCATTTTGCAGGTTACCATTTCAAAAAAAGAAATTATCTGATGAAGTAAGCTATTCCGTGGCAGTTTCAAAATCCATTGCACAGCTGGGTGAGTGTGAACTGGTATGCTACAATAAAATTATTATTATGCCATAATAAGATTAACTGTATTATTAGCACAATTTTAATTTTTTGTTACCTCTTTAGTAAATGTAAGTAATTTCGTTCAATTATTCATTCAGTCCTCTGTGCTTTTCAGTATTAGATACCATTCTTATTTTGCTGTGCAGCTAACCTGCAGATTAGCTAGCAGAATTACCTATTTGCCAATGTCAGAAGCTACATGAGATAACTTTATCAGTGCAGCTGAAGAACTAAACCTGTCTATAGCCTGTTCCATTTCATTTTGCACTGAGAAATTGGTGTATTACTATAAACACTGAAGCCCTGGATAAGGGGAACACGTATCCTTCCTGCTTTTTTGAAACCAAATGGAAGAAATAAGTGAGAAACAGTAACTCCTGACTCCCAGCTCAAACTTTCAAAACCCAAAAGCCTGAGGCCTATCACCTACAAAGGCAAAATACAAGTCAGTTCAGTGCCACGTCTTACTAGGAGTAGCAGTTTCTGACTTCAGCCTCCTGCTGCATCTCAGCCATGAGCTTCTGCATCTTTCAGAAATCGGTTTTAAGAGAGCTGTTGGGGAAAAGGTGTCAAAGTCATGTCTTAATGTCTCTGGACCTCTTAGTACCAAAATGTCTTTTTATGACCTTGCATGTCACATTTGTGATTTTCAAAGAAAATACTGCAAGCACTGTAGGTAAAAAGGATCCAGAATAGAGCAGAAGTGATACATCACCTCACTTCATGGTAACATTTGAATAGTAAAAAGGTAGCACAATCAGTGTATCACACATGAAAAAAAGATTATCCTTGAAATGGGTGAGAAAAGAAATGTTTTTAGAAGTCTTTATTTTCACAGGTCCAAGTAGATAGCAAAATGGCCCCCTGGTTTCAGATAGTTCCAGATTCTCTTTAGAGTAGCATGTCCAAAAAGACGCTAAAATCTAAAAGATTGTTTATATTATCCATGTTAGGCACTGGTAGCTCTCAATGGAATTCTCTTTATGTTGTGGAAAAGGATCTCTTTTTGTGCTCCCTTTATGTCATATCATGTCTGCTAGAAGAAGGGTTTCTGACATGGTAATGATGACAACAGCCTAGTGTAGTAGCTTTCTTCTGAATTCCACAACTTCCAGATAACATCCAGTCTCTTAGAAGGGTCTGTAGCCATAAAGCAGAGGAGGTCACTTTTTGATTAACCTCATGCTACTCCTCCAAGACCCCTTTGTCTTCTTCAGTGTGGGAGTCCCTGTCCTTTGAGTATTTTATAATCAAACTTTGCATGAAATGACAGATTTGTAGGGGGTATGACCAAAGGAAACACTAAATACTGTAAATAGAAGTGTTAAGATCACTTTCTAAAAAAATTTTCAACTTTGTAAATGGCGTTTTTTTTTCTGTTTCTGACAGGTTATTTGATGAGGGTGCCAAGCTCTCAAGTTAGAATACAAATCTGTAAGTGTGTTGTTAGCTTTTATAATATGGAGCCACCAAGAAAACTACTTTCAGGTAAAGCACAGGATTTTCAAGCGTCACAAGAAATTGAGTGTTTATGATCCCACCTACTTTGAAATGGCTCTTTTAATTAGCTATGGATTAATTTTTCTTTATAACTATCAGTACTGTATCTCATATATTAAATATATAGCATTGGCAAATGTGCAATTAATAGGTTTTTATACAAATGCATACTCAAAATCTGAAATTAGTTCATCAATGTACCAGGAATTAATTATTATACTTATGGGATTAGGATTAAATAGTATCCAGAAAACGTGAAGTGGTCACAAGTTCTCTGAAACGTGGATAATGGAGGAAGAAAGACTAGTTAGGATCAGAATTATAAGAAGGTAAATGTAATTTTCAACTTTATAGGCTGGAGAGAAGCAGCCCTGGTTTCACTTGTGTTGCTTGTGAGGGATAGATCTGAGCACATCTAAATTTGATTGAGTTCATATTATATGGACACATTTGAGCCTAGGCTTTGAATAGATTTTGTGACTTTTCTCTGCAGAAAGAGGCTGATGATGCCTGCATATGAGCTCAGGCATGATCCTCTGGTATTATGGATAGGCATGCAAACTGTCATCAGAATCCACTACTATTTATTCCTTTGGCCCTTATGATGGTGCCAGAGGCTGTTATCAGGCAAAGTCAGTCATGGTTCCCCTCCTAGAGGGGCACATGATCACTATCTAGTGATTTAGAGGCAGCCAAGCTACAGATGAACGTTGTCACAGTGTGGATCCAGAGTGCAGGTGAGGGAGCATGCTGTATTTCAGCGTGTTCCCTTGCTGTGTTCCTACAGCATGTCACTAGTTCCTGTGCCCTCTTGCTAGTTTTCATTTATTTTAGGAGGCCTAAAGAAGCTGAGCTGCAGCAGCCCTCACAAGATTGTAGAAATATGAAAGCGTGTAAATCTGTTTTTACCTTACATGCAAGACTCAAATCCTGCAAGCAGCTATGGGTGCATTTAGTTGTATATCTGTAAATAGTTCCATCAAGATCAGTGAGTGTTAAATACTGAGAGATTTTATTCTTCTCTTCCAGATTTAGAAAAAAAAGATATGTTATCTCAAAAATGGAGAATGTATTTCAGTCTGATTTTTTTAAGTCAAATTCTTCATCTCTAAGCTTATATGTAAATCTTGCCAATGTTGGATCCTGCAGAGTTCTCTTACCTATAAAGTAATACCAACTTAGAGCCTATCCAAGTTTATGCTTGGTTAAAACTTGTTTCACCATGTGCATTATCTGCATTTATCAATCCTGTATTTCATGTCATTTGAGATAAATATTTTTTAAGCTATTTAAGATAAACTTTTATGTGTTAGCATATAGAAATATAAATGTCTTTTCTCAATGCTTCCCCTTCCCCTGTAATTCAGTAGTGAAATATGGATTTGCATATGCATGGACAAAAGTAAAAACAGGGACGCATTAGAAAGTCAAGCTTATAAATCAAAGGTTGGATTCACATATTTTAAATAATACGATAATAGAAGGCATTAATTCTCTAGTGAACAAGCTACAGAAAAGGACTAGGTCCTGCACCATCAATTTACTGTGTTACCTGAAGAAGGTTTTTCACCTTTCTGTAACCCTGCTTGTTCTTTCACTCTGTAAATTCTAGGAAGCAATTAATTTTTTTATGTAGCATTTTAGTCTTCTTCAGGGTAAGTCTGTTGGCTATGCTTTAGGCACTATTAATACTCAGATATAACAAAAGCAGCTCTTGTTTATTAGATTTTTTTTTCAATTGGTTTTAGGACTAAGGAAATACGATACTTGGTTGTCAATCCTTTCTTGAGAAAGGAAGAATATATTTTATTGGAGTAATAAATATTGGAGTAACCAATATTCTGAGTATTTACTGCATTATAACTAAAGCTATTGTATGTGCAGGTTACCAGCCAACAAGTGCAAACTATAAAATTCAGATGGCTGAATTAGGAGGATTAGCAGAAACTCTCGTTTTGTCACTAGCACTAGTTGAAAATCAACTTACTGAGAAGTTGTGGGTACTTAAAGCTCTCCAGCATCTCTCCAGCTCTGGTTAGTACAAACTGTTCTTTCAATAATCTCATTACCTCTGGTCTTAGATCATTTGTTCTCTGAACATGCCTAAAATAATTACTGACCTACAGGGAATTAATTATTCAGATTTTCATAATTTCAGGAGTAAATTGCAGACTTATGATGAAGGCCCAAGCAGCCAGCAGACTCTGTTTGTATCTAAATGGTGTTGATCCCTCAGGACAGCTGGTGTTCCGCTCCTCAGAAATCCTATGGAACCTGTTAGAAAACACCTCAAAAGAAGAAGTTGTTAATCAGCTCAGTAGCTTGGAATGTGTACAGTAAGTGCAGGGAAGCATTTTATGAATTAATATTGTAATTTTGGAGACATCTAAAGCATTGCTATTGTGTAGCATTTTGTTTGAAATGAATAGAGAGAAAATACAGGGAATGGAGATCTCTCATTAAGTCCTTATTAAGTTTTCAGTATTAACACATCTGATTCCCCAAAATGGAAGCACTACTGCATCAGACCTCATAGCCAAGCAGCCCATGATTTAGACCCCTCAGGCATCTGTTTCTGTTTCAGCTAGTTAGCTAGCACTGTGGCCTGTGAGATTCCAGGAAATTATGCATGATCCAAGAGGTGCCTGCCAGGTAGCTTACGAACTCAGTGGCCAGAGTCCAGCTAAAAGCACATCCAGTCGACTTCAAAACTATTTCATTGCCAAGCCTTTCTTTATTTCATGAACACAGCGATCCACCACCAGTTGTTTCTGTTACAGGGCAAGAAGGGGATCAAGGTGCTCTGCTGCATAGTGCAGGAGATGTAGCTTATCTATTGCTTTGTATGATGAAGAAGTTAATTGCACCATTTTCAAGCTCATGTTAGTCTCAGTAGGCCAGTATTACTGCACTGTTGAAATGCTTATGTTATAAAATCAGTTGGAAATTCTATGCTATGATATACAAGGCTTTGTTCTAGATTCTCTGCTGGAGTAAATAACAGGTTCTCCCTTTAGTGAGTTACACTGTTTTAACTATTTAGGATTAGACTATTTCTTCTCAATAATCATTCAACAACATCCAGTTCCATGCTTGAGTAAATATTGTGTCTATTAATTAATTATAATACATACAGTGGAAGGTGCAATTTGTAATACATGCATATTGCGTATATGCTTAAATTGGATGTCTAGTGGTACACGTAAGAATCCATTTCATAATAAAGTTTTAAGTTATTTCTCTTGCAGTTAAACCCTAAAGCTTTGAAAAGTATGATGCTGAATGAGGATTCATATACCTAGAACTGTCTGAAATTAGAATATGAAAAGACAAGGTAAAATGCATTTCACTTTCTTTTAAGTGCTTTGAAAGAAGTATTTGTAGACCTTCTCATGCATGGTTTCCGGCATTATGATCGTCAGCTACGGAATGACCTCTTGGTGATTGCCACATTGCTAGCTGAAAACCCTGCTGCACCTATGATTGTAAGTATTTATAGTTATATTCTGGAGACCAATAACTTCTCCCTTGCTATTATATACTCAGTATTTTTCCCCATTAGGGTTCTAATATTTATTCTACTCTGTCTCCAGTGCTTTTCTTTTTCTTAGATTTGCTGAGCAAGAAACCATTTTTCTTTCTGCAATTTCCTTTACCTCAAAGAGACTTCAAATCTGTAGGTCTGTAGCCTGGAGTACTAGCATCAACTTTATTTAATACTTAGAAAATTACACTAATGCTATTCGTGTGTAAAAGTTAATGTTAACTCCTGTATTCTTGTACAGATTCTCAGATGTTACATTCTGTTACAATGAGTTTTGCACTAAATCTCATTTGTTGTTTGAAGATGTAGGAGTACAGGCTATATTCAGATGGCCCAAATTCAAATGAAGTATCTGTGCCTCATAACCAGGAAGAAGAAGGGTCCACCAAAAGTGAGCTCAGAAGTGCTAAATAAGATGTTGAGAAAATAGTTACTTAGATCCAGTTAATAAGAGGCACATAAATTCTTTCTAAGACTAGGTCACATAAATGTAGTCCAGAATGCACTATCATGACTTGCCTAAAAAGTGGGTGACTCATTCTTCTGTAATATTCCAGAATTTTTATGAGGAAACTGCAGAGAAGTTAACTTGTTATAGATGTTAATATTCTTTTACTCTCTTGTTTTACAGTTGAGATTTAGAACTTGTGACATATCTGCCTTGTAGATAATACCAGAGAAATTTTCATCAGAATGT